GGATCCGGAACACGTCGGCATCGCGGAAACGACCGTGCCGGTTCTTGCTGAACGTCAGGTGGTGCGGAACCTTGTCTCCCGGCGCGAGACGGCAGAACCAGCGATAGGCCAGATTTGGCGCAGCTCCTCACACAGGCGCCGTTCGGACGTGATCGCGTAAATGCGGCCGACCAAGGCCATGCGGATGAGGAGTTCGGGGGATCGATCGATGGCCGTCCCTTGCGCTGTAGTGACCGGCCAGTGCCTGTCTCAACTCGCCGATGTCGAGACATCGATCGACGCGACGCAGCAGGTGGTCTGTGGGGCAACATGGCTTTATGGTGCGGCGGACGCCCGTCCCGCTTACCGCGACAGGCTGGTCCCATCATAGCGACGCTCCTTTCGGCAGCCATGAAACGAAGGAGCAACCCAGCATGTCGGCATTTTCAGCAACAGGCCCGTCCGGTTGTGACACCGGCCCCTCCGGCAGCGTTCTCAACGCCGTACAGGTGTCGAAATTCTGTGTCAGAACCGGAGGATGGGCTTGGCTATGCGGAGATGTCCGGTGACGGCCGGCATCACGCTCCGCAGCCAGCGCGATGCCCGATGAGCGATGCAATCTAAACCAGCATGATCGGCGTTGGAACACGTACAAAACTCAGCCGCCCTGCTCGGGCTTAATCGCCCTCGAGCGGTGGAGTGCGGTCACGCGCTTGGACATGAGCGATGCTGCATCCGGCGGCTCGCAGTTTTCGCGATGCTCATGCCCGCCTCCCTCAAACTTACGATGCGTCGATGGTGGCGATATCCGGCTTTGCGGCCGGTGTAACGCCCCGCCCTCCCCGCAACTTCGATGCCCTCGCGCTGCCGCTCGCGCCGCGTGTCGTCGTCGTCGCGCGCCGTCTGCGCGCCACCCGCAGCAGCATGTCCTGCACCGCCTCCAGCACGATGCGCGCCACGCCCGCGCTGTCTGCCACTGTGTCGGACAGGTCCGCGATCCGGCACTGCGAGGCGCGCCCCCCTGCCTCAGATCGTTCTCCACCAGCAGCTCCGCCTCCGGCAGCGGCAGGCGGCTGATCCGATCTTCTCGGCCACCACCACCTCGCCCGGCTGCAGGTCCGCCACCATGCGCAGGAGCTCCGGTCAGTCGGGCCGCGCGCCGACGCCTTCTCCCGGTACACCGCCGCGACGTAGAAGCTGGCCGCCCTGGCGCCGGCCACGATGTTCTCCTGCCGCGTCAGGGTCTGATCGTCCGTGCTAACCCGCAGGTAGACGCGCGCTACCTTCCTCCGCTGCCTGCCACCTACTCATCACTCCTGCCCGGCGTTCTTGGGGTATACCCGGCGACCACCACTGCGGGCAACCGGCTCCGAATAGCAAACGCCGATCCTGTCGAGCCCTAGCTCAGCAAGCCCAGTCTAAGTAAGCTAATGGCGCTGATATGAACGACGACTGATCACCAAACGCGCTGAAAGTGCGCTGCTTCGCGCTATCCGTCAGCGCACATCCGGTATGATCCGAGAGTTGGGTCAGCCAAAGCGAGTTCAGTGCAGATGGGCACAGAGGGTCAAAGATCGTGGACGGTGGTAAACTCGTGATCCGGCGGCCATGCGCCGTGAGCTCCGGGATCACCACGGGTGATACCGTTCTCGTCGATATCGACGATGGCGAGCTACGGGTACGTTCCGTGCCTAAGGCGCTCGAAAAGGGCTCGCGCGATCCTTCGCAAATATGTGCCCGAAGGCGTCGGTTTGGCTGACGAGCTGATCGCAGAGCGCCGGCGCGAGGCGGAGCGTGAGTAACAAGGTCGTACTCGACGCCTCCGCCCTGCTCTGAACGACGACGACACGGGGCGGATCGGGTAGTCGACGTCCTGACCCGCAGCATTATCGGAACGACCAACCTCGCCGAGGTCGTCTCAAGCTTCAGGACCGGTTGCCCGCTCGACGGTACGCGGCTCTTGGCGGGCTGCACCTCGATGTACAGCCGCTCTCCTGCCGAGGCGCTCATCGCAGGCGACCTGCGACCGTCGACAAAAGGCGCTTGGACTTTCGCTTGGTGACCGAGCGTGTCTTGCCTTGGCGATTGACCTACAAGCGGAGATGTTCGACGGACGGGCCGCTGGCGAGCACTGAGGTCGGCAATCACCATCACCAACATACGGCCGCTGGCCGATTAGCCGCACATTCGTGCTTTTTGGGTACAGTATTACGCTCAGGCGGGCGAGTTGTGGCGGAACAGGCGGCTGCCGTCCACTGTTTCAGGCGCAGATCCACTCTTTTCAGCTGCTGCTGGGTAGGATGGCGTCACCATTTTCTAGGGGAAACCTACAGGGGTTGGATACCTTCGAAAGGATCACTCAAGGACGAAAATGTGGTCGCTCGGTACAGCCTGCAATCCACCGTGAAAGGTGAAACGGATCCGGTAACGCTGATCATACATCAGACTGCGGATACGAATGGGCAAACGCTCAGACTGCTGCTGGCGGTCGAGGCGCGAAAACCCTGAAGCTCGTTCCGGGTCGCGACACCGGACGGCTGAAGATAATGATGCGCGCTGGAGCCTCGTTCAGTCGTCACGGGGGCGTCCGGCTCTCAAACGGCTTCAACGTTGTCGACCCATCAGCACGGCATCGCCGAGAACATCAATGCTATCGCCCTCAACCTCGCGGGTCGATTGGGCGAAGCGTCCATCCTGATGCTGACATCCGCCCAGTCGAGCTCAAACGATACAAACAGGATGTTGAAGACGACGATCCGCACGGCCTTCTATCGCCAGTTCAGCCTTCGGTGGGATCTCGCTGGATCAGGATGAGATGCCGTGAATCTTCTATCGCTGCCTATGAAGGTGCGAGACCTTCAGGCAGTCCCCTTCCGTCATGGTTGACACTATTGCCATGATGAACGGCGACGTCCCCCCGCTCCCTCCGCCTCCGGCAAAAAGCTGACGATCTCGAAGCTGTCCTCGCCGGTGCGATGGTCCTTCTCGATACCGTGGAGAGCCTCGGGCCTTACCTTCCGGATCGGCCGCCGACGACCGCAGGCGTGTCGATCGCTATGTAATAAATGCCTCAGCCGATGCCACCGCCTGCGCGCGTACCAAGAATCGGATTGGCGGCTGTTTTGCCCACAGTGTCGCGAAAGTGGTTACCGGCCGCTGCCGCCGCACCTTCAACTGTGGCCGCGTTCCCCATTGCTCGCCGAGACCGGATTTGTCCCCCCTCGAACCGACGGACCAAGACGGGCAAGGTTCTTCCGCGCAAAACGCCATCTCCGCCAGCAGCAAGGCGACCAGAGCGGCGGCTGGCTGCAATCGTGATTCGCCCATCGCGCAGCCGACACCGGAACCCCCAAACCTCCCAGCCGGACGCCGCCCGGCTCGAAAAAGGCGATGCGCGCGATCCGGCGGGAAAAGCGTGACGACCTCTCGGACAGCGCGCAGCCGATGGCGATGTGATGCGCGACATGCTCAGGAGCATCACCGGGGATGACCTGCGCGCCTATCGCGACCGCGCGCTGCTTGCGATCAGGGATGGCAGGCGCCTTCCGACGCTCGAGCTCGTTGAAGTAACAGTCGCCCGGGTGGCCGAAGATGCGCGCGGCCTTTGATCCGGATTCCTTCCTCCAAGACCGATCAGGAGGGCGATGGCCAAACCGTGGCCATTCTGGATGGTCGCAGGCTCGAACCTGTCCACCATTATAATGCATGGATTGAAAAGGCGGGGATTTGCAGCGGTCCGGTGTTCCGCAAGCTCACGCCGCAGGGTCGTCTCACTGAAAAGTCGATGAGCGCGCAGGGCGGCCCTTGTGGTCAAGGCCGCAGCCATAGCGGCCGGCTATCCGCCTGAATTGTTCTCTGGCCATTCGCTGAGGGCCGGCTTCCTCACCGAAGCGGGGCGGCAAAGCGCGAACCTGTTCAAGATGAAGAGCATAGCCGCCACTCGTCGCTCGGATGGTCGCCGAATATGTGCGGGACCATGAGCGGTTCCGCGAGCACGCGGGGGAAGGTTTTCTGTGACAGCACTCATCGTAACTGCAAACGGCCTGATCGGCCGTGAGCGAGAGTTAACCGAGGCAGAGCACTTGGCCTTGCGAAGCTATGGGGCGGATTCGACCTTTTTCATGCGATCGCGCAGGGGGCACCGAGGCACTGTCGCACAATCCGAACTTCGGCACGTTTTCATCCGGCGCGCGTGCAAAAACGCGACGCCATCGACGCCGTTTTTTCTCAATGTCGCGCCTGTTGAGTGCGCAGACGCTCTGGTCGGCCATGGCCATGGCTGGGGTGTTCGCGGCGCCGGAGGGCACCGGCCAGCTTTGTGGGCCTGCATTATCATTCGGATACATCTCGACATCGACGGAGCGAAGCTGGTGCGACGCATTCCTCGACAAGCGCAGCCGCAACCGAGCCCCCCACCATGCTGGAATTTCGTACCGGCCGGCTCGCCTGCGATCGACATGCGACAGCGCCGCTCAGGGGAAGGTGAGATCCTACCCCGCGTGACACCCTGTTCTCGATCACCGACGCACAAATGCTACCGGGGACCTTCTCCAGCTTATCTCGGAGCCTTGCGAGGCGCCGGTATGAGCGAGGATGACTGGCCTCGAGTCGACGATCAGGCGGGACCAAGGCGGCCGAGGATATCGGTCCCACCGAGCTCGGCAGCCCTTAACGCGCTCGCTGGTTTCAGCGACAATCCCGGCTGGTCATGCAGGGTCAGCAACTGGAGCTGATCGACAATGTCCTCAACGGCATGGAGCGCGAAGTTCAACGGCACATGCACGATGACGATCGACCGCTTGAGACGATGGCGCTTTTGACGGCTCTCGCCCATGTGGATCTACGCAGCTTACGAGTTGCTGCGGACGTGGCGCCAGCGGTGCGACGAAGTGGTCCGACTTGCGTCCAGCGGCGGCTTCGATCTGAAAGCAGCCCATCTGGAACGCGAGGTCAATTACCAGCACTACGATCGGGAGCTTCGCGCGCAGCAGCTCTGAATCGCCCGACAATCCTTGATTTCGCGTGCCAACGGATGCGCGATGATCTGGCGCGGACCGAGATGGGGTTCACGACGATCGAGTTTATCCGCATTTCCCTTGCCAAGCATGAGGTGGGCGGCGGCAAATCTCAAGAACAAACCGATTGCCTTTGCGCACGGCTCGCGATGCCCAATCGCTACACAGGCAGCATGGACCCTTCATGAACTGAGCGTCGGCGGCTCAATCATAGGCTACCATACTCGCCGCGACCTCGCCGAAACGATCCGCTTTCCAGGCATGCCTACCACGCCGGTGCCGACCGCGGAAGAAATGAAGGATTTCCGGGAGTATATGCGACCTCAGAGGTCGGCTGAGGCTTAAGCCGTCTTCCACTTGGAGATCGCCATTAAAACTCGCCACCCGACCATGCCCGCTGCAACGCCCAGCATTCCACCGACGAGGTAAGCGCTCGGCGCATCATCCGGGACAAACAGCCCGCCGGCGACGTATCCACCAATAGTGGCGGTCCGAGTGACTGCGCCGTAGATTGCAGCAACCTTGCCATGTTGGGCCGGCGGACACTGATTGGAGCAACGTTCGCACGGCAACGTTGTGGATGCTGTTAGCCCCCGCCGCCGGCGACGAACGCGATGGCGACGATCGCCAGTGTGCTTGGCGCTAGGCCGATCAGCAGCATGGTCGCCCCATGACCCCAGCCGTCCCTGAACGCTGTCGCTCCCAATCTGTTGCCGATGACGGTTTCGGCCATCGTCGCGCCAAGGAGCATCCTGGCGGCCCAGAGGGCGGTAAGCACGCCAAATGCAACAGGCCCGCTCTTCAGCGTCATCATCACCCAGAAAACGAAAGCGACGTCAGCAATTGCCGTGGCAAAAAACCTCCGTGCTCAGCGCGCCCGTGACCACCATAATTCTTCGATTACCGAGTAATGGGCGGTAGTCGGCGAACAGATCAGGCTCTGCCGCTTCTTCCTTCTGGGGTCTGCGGCGCAGGCCACTCATAGCTTACGATGCAGCACAAAACGGCAAAGCTGGTGGCATCGACCATAAGTGCGTTGCTGGCCCCGATCCAGCCGATTAGGATTCCACCTGCGACCGGACCTGCCAGCATGCCCAAACTACGGACGATTTCGAGATAGCTGTTCGCGCGCGCCAGCGTCATGCCGAGCGCGCCGGAAAGGACCGGAATGAGCGCAAAGGTGGCGGCACTGCTGATTGTGAACAGCAGGCTCAGAACCGCCGCACCGACGAGGGTCATCGGCGGGATAGCTGCGACGATCGCGATCACGACTGCCTGCAGTGCCGAGACGACGATCAGCACCAGAGCTGCGTCCCTGCGATCTATCAGCCGCCCGCCCAAGGGGCGGCGATCAGGCCGGGAAGCAGCTCCGCGATGAGCAGGGTTGG